GCATTTAAATATGTCTTCTTCAGCTTACATGTGATGCTGTGGGTAGTTTTCTGGTTATCTATGGTAGTAATGTGACAAAACCCAAAGCTTTCAAACAACCRTTATCATGCATGAGCATGTTTTATAGTGTTGGTAGACTTTCTGACTCTAAGCATGTTTTTTTCCTGGGGTACTGTGACATTAAGTAACTMAAACATAACCACAACACTTCAGTTCTATTTGCACTATAGCTATGATAATACTGTCACTGTGTATCATGCATCATATATGTATAAKCTGCATTTCACAAGAAAATCTTAGAGGGGTTTAATTGGGCTATCTGTGTGGTTTCACTTGATGACTTTGCACATTTGGGCTGCTGTCTAATGTGATTTAGGATTATCCCGTGACCAGGTTTTAATCTGCTTGTTTCTAATCAGTTTATCAATGGCAGGCACTTCTGCTGGTGAGAAAAGAGTGTTAAAAAGAGCACACTGAGAGGGTGGTGGTGGGCTGGGTTGGACTTAATCTAATCAGCTGATTATCCAAAAATCAAACAGAGCTATGCTCAAAAGAAAAAAAAAATCTAGCATGTTAACCTTCAGTATATTGTTTAATAGATGACTTATTACCCTCTAAATATATTTTTCAAGGATGCASGACATTGGCTTTTGAACTTCTGTGCATGATTTATGAATCAAAATACAAATAAGTCACCTAATCACAGTTTCACTTTTATGGTTTTTATTTTCTTTTACCACAAAATGTTCAATTTAGAGTTTGACATTGTCACGAACTACTGAAACCTGCTGAAGGTTTGCTAAACAAACTCTTTTTTCCCCACAGTCTTTACATAAAAACAAAGCCAAATTTTTTTTCACTCACCGTGTCACCCAAACTCTCATCATTTTATCTATACTCTGAGTTTTTTTTTTTTAATTCTGTCATCAGTGGTGCCTGCAGAAATTTTTTTCAGAGGGGGAGCCATGGGGCGGCCACTGAAAAACCAGGGTGGCACACCAAAACGAATATCCATAGCATAAATGTTATGTTGTGGTTGTAAAAATGACAGTTTGAAAGCTTTGACTATATAAAGCTATGGATTTGCCAACAGATGTTCAATTTGTAATTTTATGGATAATATTATTGATTATGTAATGTTCAGAGACAAAAAACAAGAACATAAACTAGCTGCACTTCCCCAGCAGCCCATTTCTAACTTGTTCTGTATCTTTACACGTGGAGAACCATAAGTTGTCCTTACATTGTTACATATTTCAGTGGCATCAGAAAGTATTTGTAGTGTTGGGGGGACCCGCTTGTGGGGGGTCTGTGAGTCCTCCCCCAGAAAATTTTGAAAGAAGTAAATGCTATTAACAGGTTGTTAAACAGAGCTTTACCTACACAGGAAAACACATAATGTGAGTATTCTATAAGTCAAGTGGGAAAATGTATTTAAGCAAGAGAAACACTGGGTGAGCTCATGTTTTATGGTAAATTTGGGGGTTCAAATTAATTCAATTTTAAATGTGATGGGGAAACTTCCCTTCAAAAAGAACGGCTGTCAT